TCCCGACCTGATGGCTCAGACGTGGTAGAAATTTGGCAAAGCGGCCGTGGACCTGTTTGCAACACGAGAGACCGCTCAGTGACAACTACGGTTCTCACTGAGCCCGCGGGACGAACCACCGCTAGGGGTGGACGCGTTTTCTCGCAGCCTGTGGCCCAAAATGCTTCTTTATGCGTTCCCCCCACTCCCTCTGATATTACAGTTTCTGAACCGAGTTCAGGAGGAGGGATTGACGGCTCTCCTGGTGGCTCTCGAGCGCGTGAACGCACCATGGTTCCCAATTCTACGACACCTGTTATCGGGGCGCCCGTGGAAACTGCCGTGGAGGGAGGATGCTCTCCTTCAGGCGGGAGGAGCGATCAGGAGTTACCCAGAAATAGGCCAGCACCTTTGGGTCTGGCCGCTGAGCGGATCCGCTTGGAGAGGATGGGTCTCTCTCAAGATGTAGTGTGCACAATCCAGGATTCACGTGCTGCATCTACCACAGCGCTGTACACATCAAAGTGGACAGCTTTTCAGTGCTGGTGTACAGAGAAAGGTGTAGAGGCCACCTCATGTCCACTAGGTGCCGTGCTGTCCTTTCTGCAGCAGCTGATGGACAGAAATCTGGCACTCAGCACGATTAAAACGTACGCTGCAGCCATCTCTTCCTGTCACAAAGGTTTCGGGGACAGAACAGTTTTTAATCATCCGCTTATGAAACGTTTTTTAAAAGGTGTACAGAGATGCAGGTCTGTTTCATACCCACTTGCTCCACAGTGGGATTTAACGCAGGTCCTGCGAGCGCTGATCAAAGCTCCATTCGAGCCACTGAATCAGTTCCCAATTAAATTCTCATCTCTTAAAACAGCCCTGCTGTTGGCTTTAACATCCGTTAAGAGGGTGAGTGATTTATCTGCCCTCTCTGCCGCTCCGTCATGTCTCAGGATTCAGGCTGATGGCAGCTCAGCTGATCTGAGACCTAACCCAGCGTTTATGCATAAAAACATCACGAGCTCTTTTAAATCAAGAGTGATATCGTTGGAGGGTTTTTTCCCTCCCCCCCACAAATCAGGAGAAGAAGCATCTTTCCATCTTTTCTCCCCTGTGCGTACGTTGACATGCTACATAGCACGCATGGCAGCACTGCGTCAGACTCAACATCTGTTTGTGCATTATAGAGATGCATCTGCAGGTCGCCTGTTATCCACCCAGCGCCTGTCACACTGGCTGTGTGAGGCCATTTCTGAAGCCTACAGAGCATCAGATTTAGAGCCTCCTGATAACCTCAGGGCGCACTCGACCAGTGGTATTGCATCTTTGACTGCTTTGCATAATGGTATGACAATGCTGGATATTTGCACTGCGGCTGCGTAGTGAACACCCTGTTCATTTATTCGCTTTATTTACATGATGTGTCGACATGTTCCTTGACGCATTCTGTCCTTAGTGCCTTAACAGAATGAATATTGTTGTTTCATGGAATCTCATTTAATCTCACAGCTGACTGCATGCATTTACAGTGTGAGATGTTTTTATCAGTCACAGGTTGTGATTGTTGTTCTTGTTCTATTGTCACTAATTAGTTCAGGACTATTGTTACCAATCAGTTAATTTGATTAATAATCAGTTCACTTGTTATTATTAATCTGTTAATATTGATCAACCGTGGATCTGTTTGGTTCACGGCCTTTTTCAGCCTTTTTCTTTTCCCCGTTGAAAACTTTTCCGGGGCGTTCATGTACTCAGAACGCATAACTACGCAGCACGCGTCTGTGCATGGTACGTGTAATTACCCAACGCGCAATTACGCACATGGAGAGCTGAGTGACGAGACATTTTTTGGGCAAGCTGGCGCTTCATATGGTGTTCGAATGGACCCAGTGAGCCGAGGACTACATCATGCTTCACCTTTTAACCCAATAGCGAAGGCCTTAAAGGGCGAAGCCTATACGAAATAGAACGTTAGTTACATGCTGTAACCCCAGATTCTATGAGTATAGGCGTAGCCCTTTAAGCGCCGGGCCTCATTGGCTCCTAAATGGCTGAAGAAAAAGTTATTTGGGAGCTGATTACCTGCTCTTAATGTAATTTATATGGACCGGTTGGGGCCCACACAACAGGTGGGCGTGGACTAAACTTTTCAGTGCGATGCTTTGCATGACGGGATGAACCCAATAGCGAAGGCCTTAAAGGGCTATGCCTATACTCATAGAATCTGGGGTACAGTACGTAACCAATGGTTTACAGCATTTTAGGGGTGAAAATTAGAAGGGTTCATATCGGCACATAATGGGACAATTATCCCCAATACCAATAGACCCCCAAACATCTGTATCATCCTAAAATATTAGCCCGACCGATACCATATATCGGTCAGGCTCTTAATACTAATGTTACTGGGTTGAAGCCATTTTTCTTGTGGCTACAATCTCTATTTTCTGCTCCCCATCCCAAAGTAGTGGAACATTCGGGTTGGGGGTATTTTGGTAGATGGGGTGCTCGGTTCTGTTGACAGTGTGGGATTCTCTCCTTGGATAATGCAAGGGGAAACACTGCACTGTAGGAGGATTTTCTGGGTTTAAATAGTTTTGACACCAGTGTTTACAGAGCTGATTTACGATTACTGAAGAGCAGTCAACACCTGATGAGTGGGACTGATCGTCATGTAGAAAAGTGGGACTTTAACTGTTTCTTCTGTCGTTTTTCCACAATAATAATACAATGCATTCAGAACACTGATATGTTCAGACAGGGGTCTGAAATGCTTTGTGCTTTGTGTTTGTGCTATGTGAGCTTATTTTGTTTTTAAATGCACTTCTTTGTGATATGGCTCCATCCTTGCCTCCTTCAAGCTGTTTGATACACTTAAGTTGCATTCACACCAGCCCTGTTTAGTCCGCTTTAATTGAACTCTAGTCCGTTTGCCTAGAAAGTCATGTTCGTTTGGGGAGGTGTGAATGCGCAATCGAATTCTGATTTGGACCAAAAAAGTGAACTCTGGTCCGCCTAAATACCTAGGTCTCGGTTGAAGTGAACCCTTACCCACAGCGATTGTTCCAGATTCTCTTAATCTTTTGATGATGTTATGCACGGTTGATGATGATAACTTAAAAGTCTTTGCTATTTTACGCTGGGTAACACCATTCTGGTATTGCTGCACTATCTTTCTGCGCAACAATGGTGGAATTGGTGATCCTCTTACCATCTTGGCTTCTGAGAGACACTGACACTCTCAAAAGCTGTTTTTATACCCAATCATGTTGTCAATTGACGTAATTAGTGTTAATTGGTCTTCCAGCTGTTCGTTATATGTTCAATTTCCTTTTTCCAGCCACTTATTGCTACTTGTCCCAACATTTTTGGGATTTGTTGACACTGTGAAATTTTGAATTAACATATTTTTCCTTTAAAATGTTACATTTACTCAGATTAAACTTTTGATCTGTCATCTATGTTATATTACGAATAAATTATTGACATTTGCCATCTCCACATCATTGCATTCAGTTTTTATTCACAATTTGTTTAGTGTCCCAACTTTTTTGGAATCCGGTTTTTATGATCTCTCCTACCACCTCTCATTAAAACTCTTATAAGTAGCTGAATACTACTAGACAGAGCCAGAGGACCAATAGTGGTACAAGTACCACCAGGATTTTTCTTCCAGGTCAACATATAACAGCTGTTTTGATTATGAGCAAAAGAAAACCTGAAGAGTTTCAACTTCAAAGTCAGAGCATCTCATGCAGTTTGAAGCTTGAAACTCTACACTCCAATTTTGAATTGAGAAAGTTCCCCGGATGGATAGACAACTTCATCTACAGAATAGAAGTCCAGTTGGTTTGTTAAAACTTTTTGGATTTCCTACTACTGAAGTTTAGTGAATGCAACATGAAGCTGAAGTTGGGTGAGATAAAACAATTTTACTTTGAGCTGTTCTTACTGACTCAACTGTTCTGAAGCAAACAAGAAAAAAAGACAAAGGATCTGAAAACCAGAGGGTGAATATCCACTGTTTTAGCATCAGATCCCTTCAGGTCTGTCTCTATGATTTTGGTCCATCTCATCTGGACTTTTCCTCTGTGGTTCAGAACTAAATGTTTGCAGCATCTTCAGGTTGGATGGTGCTGCTTGTATCCAACAGTTTTTAATTCAAACAACGGGTTCTCAGTTGCACTGAGGTCTGACTTTGAGTGGACCATTACAGGACATTTTCCTGGTTTTCCTTAAACCAGTGGAACGTTCTTCAGCAGTGTGTTCAGGGCCATTAAACCAGTGGCGCATTCTTCAGTGGTGTGTTCAGGGTCATTAAACCAGTGGATAATTCTTCAGTGGTGTGTTCAGGGTCATTGTCCAGCTGGAAGGTAGCGACCTCCATCTCATTCTCAGATTTTTGGAAGACCAGGTTCCTCTCAGGAATTTTTCTGTATTTTGCTCCATCCAGATTTCCTTTAACTCTGACCAGTTTCCCATTCCCTTCTGATAAACAACATCCCCACAGCATGCTGCTGCCACCACCGTGCTTCACTGTAGGGCTGGTGTTCTCAGTATGATGAGAGGTGGTAGGTTTGCCTCAGACACGGTGCTATCCTTGATGTTTGCTCTCATCTGACCATAGCACCTTTTTCTACAGGTTTGGTGTCTTTTTCCTGATGTTCTCCCATGAAGTCCAGCTCTGTGCAGCTTCTAGTGGTCCTCAGGACAGATTCTCTGTCTCCCAGCTCCATCAGGGTCATCTTTGGTCTCATTGGCCTTTGGCTCTGAACGTTTCTTTGATTTGTACCCACCCCATGAGTTTTGGTGCACAACTCTTGGCAGGTTTGCTGCGATGGCGTCATCTTTTCATTTCTTAATAATGGATTTAAGAAGCTTCATGGGATGTTCAGGGTTCATAGTTATTTTTATAAACCAGAAGATAAAATGTAAATTTATTGAAATTACCCTTGTAATCTTTAAAACAGATGATCTTCATACTGACACAGCTTCAAAATCATCTGATTTGTTGTGTTTTCCTACAGGTGAACAAAGATGCTCTTGAATTAACCTGAGCTCTGGTCCTGATTCTCCCTGTCTGACCCAAAATGGCTTCTGCTAGCAGCACCAAGATCTCATGGCAACTGCGTGAGTACAAGCATTCAATTCAATTCAATTCAAAAATACTTTATTAATCCCAGAGGGAAATTATTTGTTGTTGTAGCTTGTTATCCTCATTTCATTAAGATATGTTATAGATACTGATGGCTGTAGGCAGGAAAGATCTCTTGTAAAGGTTCATTCCACAGTGGATCCTAAGAAACTGGCTGCAGATGCCGTCCGATCCGTCCACCCAGACTCGGCTGGCCTCTCGGTTCCCCCGGGCTGTAGGAGCACCCGAATGCCGGGCAGAACTCCTCCCAGAGCGATGGCCAATCCTCCCAGCAGCTGAGCTCCTCGTCGCTGCGGACAGCTGGCTGTAGGTGCCGAGGGACGATCCTGTCCTTCCGCTGTCATGAGCTGTGTTTCCTGCTAGTTCCAGGATCTCAGTGGTCAGGCACTCGAGCACAGCTGGCAGATAGATGAGAATGTGTCCACATACCATCCTTTAAACTCATTTGAGATTTGGGGCTGTAGTTGAGATATTATTTGAGCTTTTGAGATGTTAATCAGCTGTTGTTGGTTGTAGAAAACTGCCTTGTTGCCATGGTTACGCATCATAACAAATGTCCTAAACTAAAACAGTTTCAGTAAAAATACTTCCAGCTGCACAGCATCCGATACCAGAGGAAACAATCATCCAAAAAATATGATTTACATCGAGAAAAAGAGGAATTAAAGTTTCCAAATGCAAATCTCCGAATGAAAGTAACAGAGCTGCTCCAACATGCAGCCACCTTGAGCGGCGCAATTCACATAGAGAACAATGTTTGCAATAATCGGGTCTTGCTGAGCTGCAACAGATGAGCATCAACTCAGAACTGACCTTTGTCCCTTCTCTCATTGTTCAGAGGAGTTCGAGGCTCACTCACGAAGCGTTTCCTGTCTAGCTCTGGGAAAAAGCTCCGGCCGCCTTCTGGCCACTGGAGGAGAGGACTGCAAAGTGAACATCTGGGCTGTCAACAAGGCCAACTGCGTCATGGTGAGACCTCTTTTTGTTTTACTCTACAAATAACTTCAAAAAACAAACACACGTTGAGTCATTCATTGTGCTCATCAGAAAAAACAACCAAACACCCAGCTCTTTCCCAGTTCTTCATTCTGGCATTAAAAAATCATCTGGAGGATGACTTGTCAGAACAGTTCAACAAACCAAAACCATCTCTGAGAGGAGAACCTGTTAAAGAAGAGAACTTCCTTCTGTGATTCTGACAACTCTAAAAAGGTTCCTTGTGTCCAAAACAGTCTTCAATCCATTTTGATCTAAGCAGGTTTTCCATCTGGGTCATGAGTAGGGTTAATGGGACCAATCAGACCAGCTTCAACTTTGTAAGAGCCAACCAGTTCTAATTTAGTCCATCAGAACCCAGAGAAAAGGACAAAATAAAACAGAAAGGAAAAGATGGGCTCCATGTTCCTGACATTTTCTGTTTTTTATTTTTTTTCTCTCTGTTGGTTCTTGTTTTTCTGTTCTGCTTAATGTTTCCCTTTGGGGTTTTTTAAGCCCGAGCAGCAAAGCGCTGCAAAGGCCTATTGTAATCGCTCTGTTCAAGCCCGAGCTGCAATTTTTTCCGTCAAACGAATTGGCCTTTTGGGGGCCTTAACATATCCCAAAAGTCACCAAATTTGGCGAACACATCAGGACTAGTGAAAAATTACGTATTTTAAGGGCGTGGCAAAAATCGCAACAGAAACGGCTCAAGAGCGCCACCTGGAAATTTTCAAAATACCCTCCACATTACCCTTAGTTTGTTGTAGAAACAAGAAATTTGGTACACTTGTCCAATTCCCAAAGATGCACAGAAAACCCTCTAGCACCAACATTGTATGATAAACGGGAAGGTGAACATTTTGGAATGTCATCCCAATTTTCACACCTTTTTGGCAGTTTACAGCCTCCGCATTTGAACTCCTTCTCCTAGGGATTTCACTCAATCGGCTTCAAACTTGGCCGTTTTGGTCAAAAGGCATGGGGGACACAAAGCTATCTAAACGGTTTGTTTCGGAGCATGCTGAAGGGGCGGGGCCAGACCTCAAAGTTTGACATCTCGCCGTGAAAAACAAAACGCTAATAGCTCCTACACGAAAAGTGTCTGAGACATCAAACCTTACGTGATTAATCCACATCCGGTCCCCTGCAAGACTGAACAGTCAAATCATGACATCACTTAAGCCACGCCCCCTGACAACAGGAAGTGTAATGTTTTACGTTGAACTGTCCCTATCTGACCCCTGTTACCTGATCAGCATGATAGTGTGTCCAGTGACCGAAGACATGTTGGTGTAACTTGCTTTCCAACACTGACAGTTTGGGGTGGAGCATGTGGGTGTCGTGACATGGCTAAGTAAGACGTAACGCCGTCGCCATACATTTGCCTCTAAATTCCACAGATTTGAACCGAGGTTCGATCATTATCCACCCATTGAACAGGAAGCCATGATAATTGCCCGATAGCCTCCACAGCGCCCCCTAGAATATTTTAAAACATCAGCCCCAAGCCATTTTTTGACCGATAATTCTGAAACTTGGTGAACATCTGTATCTTCTCAAGACCTATGAAAAAGTCTCTTGGAGCCCTAGTCCAAACTCAACAGGAAGTCTGCCATTTTGGATCAAAGGGTGATTTTTGGGCATTTCTAACAGCAAATTTTAACGAACTCCTCCTAGGGATTTTGAGTGGTTGCCTTCAAACTTGGTTAATATGCCCTTAAGACATTGGGGAGTAAAAGTTATCAAAAGCTTTTGGTTTTGTTTAGGTTAAAGGGGTGTGGCCAGGCCTCTAAGTTGCGCTTCGCGCCATAAATTTACAAACGCTATAACTTTCACATTAAAAGACTGAAATGCATCAAACTTGGCAGGACTCATCTCTGTTGGATACTCGATGATTCACTTTGGTCATATTTTGATATCATCAAAGCCCCGCCCCCTCAGAACAGGAAGTCTATCTTTTACTTGGAATGCTCCCTCTTAGACACCCTTGACCTAATCAGGATGATCCTGTCTTAGAATGTAGATAAGATGGTCTGACTTGATTTTAAGTGTAAACTGTTTTTGATGGAGGATGTGGGCGTGGCGGCGTGGCAAATCAAGAAGTGACGCCGTTGCAATAGGTTTGGCTATAAATTTCACAGATTTCAGCCGAGGTGTACCAAAATCACTATGCTCGATCATTATCCGCCCCTTGAACAGGTATCCATGCTAAGTGGCCAATAGCATCCACAGCGCCACTTACAATATTCCTACAGTTATAGCTCAGTGATACATCATCTGATCTGCACCAGATTTATTGTGCCTGATCAATGAACACTTCTAGACACATTGATATTGTTGTTTAACATCTGACTCTAGTGCGCCCCCTAGAATTTTCCAACAGTTATATCTCAAGGATACATCAACCAATATGTACCAGATTTTTTGTGCATCATTATCGAGCAATTCTAGACACATTGGCATTGTTGTTTAACTTTTGACTCAAGTGCACCCCCTATATTCTTCCAACAGTTATATCTCAGTGATACATCATACGATCTGCACCAGATTTTTGGTGCGTCATTAGTGAACACTTCTAGACACATTGGTATTGTTGTTTTACTTTTGACTCTAGTGTGCCCCCTACACTATTCAAACTGTTACATCTCAGAGATACATCATCCAATCTGTACCAGATTTTGGATGTGTCATCTCTGAGCATTTCTAGACACATTGGTATTGTTCTTTAACATTTGACTCAAGTGCGCACCCTAGATTATTCAAACTGTTATATCTCAATGATATATTATCTGATCTGCACCAGATTTTTGGTGTATAATAAGTGAGCACTTTTAGACACGCTGGTGTTGTTGTTTAACTTTTGACTCCAGTGCGCCCCCTATATTCTTCCAACAGTTATATCTCAGTGAAATATCATCCAATATGTACCAGATTTATTGTGCATGATCAGTGAGCACTTCCAGACACATTGGTATTGTTCTTTAACATTTGACTCAAGTGCACTCCCTAGATTCTTCCAACAGTTATATCTCAATGGTACATCATATGATCTGAACCAGATTTTTTGTGCGTAATCGGTGAGCACGTCTAAACACATTGATATTGTGGTTTAACATATGACTCAAGTGCGCTCCCTCTCATACTGATATGGGCAGAAGGCGATTGCCAAGTTTAGGCATAGGCGCACCCTGGTGGACGCGTGCGTGAATGGCACAAGAGCGTTCGTGACGGCAACTGGGAGGCGTTGCTGGAGCGGTCGCAGGTGATGTTGAAGGTTCGGTGAATGCGCACACCGGTGAATGGGCACGGGACAGGAGCTAGAGCATTCGCGATGGCAACCGGGTAGAGTCGCTGGAGCTCCCACGGTTGCCGTAAGGCTGGAGCGGCGCTTTTCTGCGAGGGCCTTCAATGCTGCAAGTTAGGCCCGAGCAGCTAAGCGCTGCGCAGGCCTATTGTAATTGTTAGGCCCAAGCAGCTAAGCGCTGCAGGCCCGAGCAGCTAAGCGCTGCGAAGGCCTATTGTAATTGTGTCGTTTCTAATTTTTTCCCGTCAAAGAGCGCTAATTTGGAGGCCTTAGTATATTCGAAAACTCACCATATTTGACCCAAAATTGTCCCCCGTGAGAAATTTGAGGTATTTAATGGAACCAAAAGTGGGCGTGGCCAAACTGCTCCACAGCGCCCCCTAACGTGAGTTATGACAACTGGTAAGTCCTAGAGAGCTGAAATTTGGTATACTTACAACCCGGCTGGACTACTGTAACTCACTTTATGTTGGGGTCAGTCAGGCTTCACTTTCACGTCTCTAGCTTGTACAAAATGCTGCAGCTCGGCTTTTAACAGGAACTCGTAGGTTTGAGCACATTACTCCGGTTCTGTCCTCTCTTCACTGGCTTCCTGTACGTGTCAGAGTTGATTTTAAAATTCTCCTGCTGACATTCAAGTGCATTAACAGCCTTGCACCATCATATCTCTCTGACCTTCTTCATCCTTATACTCCTTCTCGGGCTTTGAGATCATCAGACCAGCTGCTTTTGGCCGTACCAAAAACCAGGCTGAAGCTCAGAGGAGATCGAGCGTTTTCAGTCGTGGGCCCTAAACTTTGGAACAATCTGCCCATCAACATTCGACAGGCCACCTCAGTCTCTGCTTTTAAATCTCTCCTAAAAACACATCTATACTCATTGACATTTAACACAGGGTGATTGGATTTAGATCTGGTTTTTCATTGATGCTGATTCTGTTTTTGCTTTTGTTATTATTCCTATTTAACACAAGGTCATCTGATCTGATTTAGTATTTCATTGTTTCTGACTGAGTTTATGCTTTTTGTTATTATTTCCTTGACTTTTGACACAACGTGATCTGATTTAGTATTTCATTGTTTCTAATTGTTTTTGGTTTTATATTTTTATTCCATGTGCTGTAAATATATCTTGCTACTTTTTATTTGATGATGTGATATTTTTGTTAAGCACTTTGGTAACAGTTTCTGTTTTAAATGTGCTCTATAAATAAATCTGACTTGACATTAGTGAGCACTTATGGACACATTGGTATTGTTGTTTAACTTTTGACTCTAGTACGCCCCCTACATTATTCCAACAGTTATATCTCAACGATACATCATCCGATCTGCACCAGATTTTTGTTGCATCATCTGTGCGCATTTCTAGATACATTGGTGTTGTTGTTTAATATTTGACTCAAGTGCGCCCCCTAGATTATTCAAACTGTTATATCTCAGTGATATTACATCCGATCTGCACCAGATTTTTAGTGCGTCGTTAGTGAGCACTTATGGACACATTGGTATTGTTTTTTAACTTTTGACTCTAGTGCGCCCCCTACATTATTCCAACAGTTATATCTCAATGATACATCATCTGATCTGCAACAGATTTTTGGTGCATCATCTGTGAGCATTTCTAGACACATTGGTGATGTTGTTGAATATTTGACTCAAGTATGCCCCCTACATTATTCAAGATGTTAAATCTCAATGATACATCGTCTGATCCCGACCTGATTTTTGGTGCGGCATTAGTGAACACTTATACACACATTGGTATTGTTGCTTTACTTTTGACTCAAGTGACTACATTATACAAACTGTTATATCTCAGTGAATTATCATCCGATCGTAACCAGATTTTTAGTGCATAATCGTGAGCATGTCTAAACACATTGATATTGTGGTTTAACATATGACTCAAGTGAGCACTCTCTCATACTGATATGGGCGGAAGGCGATTGCAAAGTTTAGGCATATGCGCACCCTGGTGGGCGCGTGCAGAAATGGCACGAGAGCGTTCGCGATGGCAACTGGGAGGCGTTGCTGGAGCACCCGCGGTTGTGGCTGATGTCAAAGGTTCAGCGAATGCGCACTTGGGTGAACGGGCACGGGTCTGGAGCGTTCGTATTCGCAATAGCGACTGGGTGGAGTCGCTGGAGCTCCCGCGGTCGCCGTAAGGCCGGAGCGGCGCTTTGCTGTGAGGGCCTTCAATGCTGCTTGCAGCTTTAATTTTTTTGTTTCCCTTTGTTTTTTCTTTTCCCTTAGTTTTTTTTTTTTGTTTGTTTTTTGTATAAAGCTGATCCGTCACAATCGATGTTTGCTCTGGTTTTTAGAGGTGTAGCTCAGGACTTGTCAGTTTTGACAGGTACCAGCCATGATTTTAAACTCAAACCCTCAGTTTTTGTATTATTCATGAAGCTGAAGTTGTTCCTGAGGTGGTGGTGGTGATGGGGGTGGGTATTCTGAAAAAAAAAAAAAAATTGTTCCTCCTTCTGTTCAGCTGCTGTGTTGTCCTAAAAGCATGAGTGTTTGATAATCTTGGGGTTCTTTAGAGCCCGTGCTAATCTGTTTCTTGGGCCTGTGTGTTTGTCTCAGAGTTTGAAGGGTCACATGAACCCGGTGGAGTGTGTCCAGTTCAATACTTCAGAGGAACAAGTTGTGACCGGGTCTCAGTCTGGATCCATACGACTTTGGGACCTGGAGGCTGCCAAGAGTAAGACACTCTGTCTATCTGTAGGGTGTGTTATACTGTTGTCTAAAAATTTTGCAATGTAAACGCTCAAACAGCAAACAGTCTGACTTTTTAGATTTTCATCACCTGAACATACAGTACATCCAGAGCCACTCAACATATGCCCCTTTTCCACTGTCACAGAGCGGATCAGATCAGTTCGGGTTGGTTCAGATCGGTTCGGGTCTGTTGTGTTTCCATGTACATTTCTGGACCAGCTCTGTAGGCGGGGACTAGAATCCAACTGGTCTTACCACCTGGTGGCGGTAGTGCTCCCTTAAGCTACTTACTAGCCACCACTAAACGTATTAGAAGAAGAACACCCTGAAGGTTTTGTCACAGGATGTTGTGGAAGAGATGTCATGCTCTAATGGAGCTGTAACTTTTAAACCCGATTCATAATCCTACCTTACTGCCTTCCTGCTGCTTTAAACCCATGTGTTTTTCATTTTAGTATAGATTTTTACAATAAAGATGTATTAAAAATATCTTCACTTTTATTATTTGCAGATATGCACAAGGTTCATGTTAAAATTGCAAAACATCACACTGTGCTGTAATCTTTGAAACTGCTTTTACAATAAGATACAGACTTGAAAACAATTAGATTAAATTTTGTCCTTGAATTTTAAAGATTTGTCTTTCATTAAATTAAAACATAAATTTATTACTTATTAATCTAAAAAAGTTAAGTCTGGTCCTCTGGACATTCAAAAAACAAAACTAACAAAATACATTTAGTTTATTTATTAGAAACTGTATTGTTTGTTTTGTGAATGTCCAGAGGACCAGACTTAACTTTTTAGATTTTTCTACCTGGATTATTGAGCAGCATCAGGATATTAATTAATAAATAGTCAGTTGGTCTGTGAACACCATGTGGTCCTAGAAGAGTTGAAGAGGTGGCTGTTGATGTCTGTGCCTCCCTGGTGAAGATGCTGCTCCCACAACCCTGAAGCAGAAGAGGATGGATGGATGGATGGATGGATGGATGAATGGATGGATGGATGGATGGATGGACGGATGGCGAAGGAGGAGACCATCAAACACAGCAGGAGTGGTCAGTTCAGGTGAACTCCTGCCTGTTGGCTTCAGATCAGCTGTTCAAATCTCTGCAGGTTCAAATAAAAGGTGCACCAGGACTTTCAGCTGAATCTCTCAGGCCACAGTTGTACGGCCGATAAACCATAACTGATAACTGATGACTGATAATTGATAACTGTCCTTTCTGAATTTTTGACTGTTTTTGTGTCACTTCATCCTAGAACCAAAAAATTTATAACATAATAACAGTTGAGCAGATTCTAGTAATCTTTTCTTAGGATTCATTAAAGATCAAATGCAATTGGAAATTCTTCTCAACTTCCAGTATGAATTTAAACAAACACTATATGAACTTAACATTGTAAAATTTGTTTAGGAAATTTAATGTTCAAGGACACCACTTAAGAAAAAAAATTGTTTAATATGAAAAGTAAGAAGTGAAAAATGTACAAAAATAAAAACTACTGCATCCAACTAATGATTGTCTGTCCCTTGTCTCATGGGCTTCATCCAGAAGAAGACACAAGTGTTGTTCCTGCTGTATCCGGTTCAGTTCTTCATGTTCATTCAGTGATGAAATAAAACTTTTCTTTACTGGACTCTTTTCTCTTTCTCTTCACTAGAAAGAAGAAAAAGGTGGTTAATTCAAGCTACATACTGTTTTTGAATAAATGCATAAAACAAAGAAAGGTGCTGCTAACAGCTATAATAGATATATTAATAATAATAAACTGATCAAATAAGAAAATGAAAAATAAATTGATTTAAAAATAATGAAAATGATAATAATGGATATATGAATCAGAAAGTATTATACAGATGCAGATATTCTTTGTCATTCGCACCACATGTGGTACATGTGGTGGATCAAAATTATGTTCACAGGGTCCCAGTTACATCCAACAATAAAATATAAAAGAAAAACAGTAATAAGATCTAAGATATGAACTAAGAAAAACATCAACTAAAAATATGATAAGCTCTAATAGCATAAAAACATTAAACACAATACGCAGAACAGCAGCACGGACATGAGTCTGTGTGAGCAGACGAGCATGCATGAACACAGAAACATGAAACAGATCAGCAGCAACATTAAACAGATCAGCAACAACATGAAACAGATCAGCAGCAACATGATTACCCTTGTTAGATATTCATAAGGCTGCACAAACTCTAGTTCATGTTGTTGTTTGACGTATTGTTTTGATTGTTTACTGCTATTAGTGCTTAGTGTTTTATTAGTAGATGTTTTTTAGTTGATATTTTTCTTAATTCATATCTTAGATCTTATTACTGTTTTTCTTTTACATTTTGTTGTCTGTAACTGTGACCCTGTGTACTTAATTTCATCCCAATTCAGTATTCATTCAACATTTTATTTTTTTACTTTAAAAATAAAATAAATCAAGTCCTTATCGGCACAAATAAATTGATGTGGAACATGTTACATCTGTTCTTACCGAGCACAGAAGCTGCAGCGTTGTGCTGCTCTGTGAGGTGCAGCTGGGCTGTGATGGAGCTCTGTCAGGTGTAGACTCCTCTGATGGAGCAGGAGCCGGGAGGCTTGGAGGGTTTAATGTGGAGTTTAAAGATGAACCATCACGCGCTGAAATACGTTCTGGATAAAATACAGTGAGAAACGGGACCGGAGGACAGTTAGCGTTTATGCAAATTAGCTTAGCATCGTAGCACCGACGTTGTCCTATTATGGCGTCAGCCTCTTTTGTCAGTTAAAAATATGTTCAGAACCGATGGGATGAGTAACTTAAAATATGTTTAAAGTTAGAAAACACTCACCATCTTCTATAAATGGTTCAAGTAGAGCAGTGGCCGTGTCCAAACCACCCTCCAATCCTCCATCTAGCTCGCTTTGACTTTTTTCGTCGGCCACCAAGCACAACAACACCTGCACTTCTGCATTTGACCACGGTTTTGATATTATTGTTGTTGTATAGCTTCAAAATACTAAAAGATACGCTCCTCGAGTTATCGCTAATGGCAAGCGGGAGAGAAAAAATGGTGAATCGGGTTGTTTGGAAAGACTCCACAGACTCCTCCCCCCAACCAATCAGTGACCGACAGTGTTTCTGACATCACGAATTTAGCGAGGCGAGCCGGTCACAGGAAAAGTGGAAAGACCTCAAACGCGCTTCAAGCCGGAAATATCCGACCCGCGCCGTGACGGTGGAAAAGGGGCAATAGTTACCAGGACTGTTCCCCCACTCAGCCACCAAACCGTCCTGCTTATGAAGGAGCAGAGTTGATGTAAATAATACTGTGTAGCAGAAAGGAAGAGCAAGCATACATTATCTAACAAAGATGAGTCAGGTCCTCTGGACAGATTCTTGTTGAAACGTTGGTGACATCCAGAACCAGCTGTTCACATTTTCAAGGAGGACCATCAGCCTAACGACCAATTGTTAGCACCCTGATGGCTGTTTGCTATTCACAGGGGGCTGAGTGATGCTAGCAATAACAGCATTGTCAGAGGGGGACAGTTGAACATGGAGGCCTCCACCCCTGTTTAATGATGGATGGGTTCTTTTCACAAAGATGGCCTCCTTTACTCTTCTCTCAAACCGTCGTTCCTCTCTATCCAGGATGAGAACATCTTCATCCCTGAAAGAGTGGCCACTGGCCTGGAGATGAGTGTAGACCACAGAGTCCTGGCCTGATGGTGTTGCTCTTCTGTACTGGGCCATCCTTTTGGCCAGTGGCTGTTTAGTTTCCCCGATGTAAGACTGATCACAGCCCTCCTGACACTGAACAGTGTTAAAGACGGGAGCTGGCTGCGGACCACCGGATCCGGAAACCCCCTCCAGCCCATGTTTTTACCCCCGGCTCGAACCTCCCTCAGAAGTGGCAACTATACTAATCAATAAATCAAGGAAACGTCAATTAAGTTTTATCAATTATATTAGAAAAGGCAGGAAAAGATTACAATTCACAGCGCTGGACTCTACAGTCTGTGACGCGTTCACAGACCTGGAAGAAGAGCCCCGATGTCTCGTCTCATTACTCCTTTATAGGGTCCTAGACTCCGCCTTCGCAGAAGGGGAGCTCAGCCTATCAGTGTATGAGGGGGCGTGGCTAACCAAAATAAGCCTGCAAAATTCTGGAATAATATGCCCTTGGGTGCTCATTCTTACCTTGCATGACCTTGTCGGCGGCTGGATATCCGCCATGTCCTGCGCAAGGGGTATACTCTTTCACAAGAGCAGCACATAACAGGCGGTAATCCTTTCTTGTGGCATCAGGTTGACGCTCTATGAGGGAAAACACCGTCCTGGCTGAAGTGAGCCTGATCAAACCTACTTTATCCTCAACTGTAGCGTTGGGATAGCTTCTTAATTGGAAGTCAAGGCCGTGCAGATAGGCCTTAGTGTTGGTCGAACCCAATGGCCCCGGCTCAATGCGTTGGACAAACTTCGCTATTTCATGCAATTCCGCTACCGAGAGCAGAGGCTGAGGAATTTGTGTTGTTGGAACAAAATAATCACGTGGAGGTGATTCACCAGATTCACGTGGAGGTGGCAGAAGGGGATTATGTGTAGGAGGTACAGCAAAGTCCTTCTGAGGTGGTGGTGGGTGACCTGGACTCTGACCCAGTTCGTCTTTTAGTTCCAGACATCCCTGCCCCTCTTTGACTGATATTGAAATCCCAGGGAGACTCTCTTGAAAGCTGCTGGCCCAGTTTAACCCTGTCAGAACCGGGTCATAATTTCATTATAATCCTGTCTCTGAGCAGATCAAAACCATAAAACCAGTCTAGATTAAAAATATCTTAACAACAGCATACACAATATTACTCTGTTTGTGTTGGGTGACTGGATCTTTGGGATGAACCAGTCTTTGCCGTAATGTATTTTGGGGTTTGAAAGACACTGGGACGTTGTGTTTGGAAAACAAACGTCTCATTTTTTCGGGAACTCCCG